TGCGATCATTTCTGAGGTTAGCTAGTTACTACAGGGGGTTTATGAGGGACTTCGCAGCAATAGCAAGGCCTCTAACCAATATTCTCAAAGGAGAAAATGGCTCGATGAGCAAACATATGTCCAAAAAGGTCACGATTGAATTTGACGGAACTCAACGTAGTGCCTTCGAAAGACTGAGGAATATCCTGGCATCAGAAGATGTCATACTTAACTACTGACGCCTGAATGGATGGCATCGGTGCAGTCCTATCCCAATAGGGCAGACATATTTCCATGATTTCACGCATGTTAAAGCAAAGCGAGACACACTACGCCACGAATGAGCGAGAATTGTTAGCTATTTTGCGGGCTCTAGGTAAACTGCAAAATTACCTCTATGGGGCAAGAGAAATAAATATTTTCACTGACCATTAGCCCCTTACTTTTGCTGTCTCAGATAGAAAAACGAATGCAAAAATCAAACGATGGCATTCATTGATGAACACATGTCAAAAGTCTTCTACAAACCAAGCAAAGAAAATTACGTGGCTGATGCCCTGTCTCGTCAAAATGTAAACGGCTTACAAAACGATATACAGTTAGACGCTGCAACGATTCACAGCGACATGTCATTGACTTACACGATCGGAACGACTGAAAAGCCTTTAAACTGTTGCAAAAATCAAATTGTTCTTGAAGAAGCGAAAAACCTAAAAATACGCCACCTTATAAACTTCACAGACAAAAATACCCTATTCGAAACAATTAGGCCACTCATCAACACAGACGCGGTAAACGCAATACCGTCTAGCCAGTATACAACATGATTTGGTGCTAAATTTCCCCGCAACCAAATCCAGGCACTGCAAAAATATCGTAGTCGACATTACAGACAAAAATGAACAAATCGAAATTGTCACCACCGCACATTACCGCGCGCACAGAGCCGCCCAGGAAAATACTAAACAAATCCTTCGCGATTATTATTTTCTACAAATGATGAAGTTGGCCAACGAAATAGTAACAAATTGCAAGATATGCACTAAAGCAAAGTACGATAGGCCCCCCAAAAAACAAATACAAACACGTAACACTACAGCTAATGAAGAATGATAATATATATACATATATACTATTCTAGAAACCACATGTCAAGTTTGGGGACTTTAACTTTAAAAACCTAGGGATTTGCTCAAAAAAGGATTTCGATGTCGATTTTTATCGATTGCGTGGAAACGGACCGACATGGATAGATCGACTTGGCTGTTGATGCTGATCAAGAATATATATACTTTATGGGGTCGGAGATGATTCCTTCTGCCTGTTACTTACAGTTGCACAACAACAATTTACACTTTTTACTCATTTTTAATTGGTTCAGGGTATAAAAAGTGGGTGTTTTTTGAATAGGTGGCTTTCTGATTCCATTCTCGACACTTTGGTTTTGTTAGACGTTTAGTTACCGGATAACTGATGACGGCATAGTATTTTACGAAACGCCTATAGCACCCAACCACATCCAAGAAGCAACGTAATTGCTTGACTGTTTTCGGAACAGAAAACTCACTGATTGCCTTCATTTTCTTAGGAAACCCCGTGAAATGTATTCTCTGTCATGCAAAACTGAGATTTTTTAAAGTTTGCTTCACTTAAATGTAATGCAATCTCCTGAAGCAAAACAAGGTAGGAATTAAAATCGTCTGAGGGCACTTATAAGTCGTCCCAGTAAACGAAGACTTCTGTACGCAAATGTGCAGGAATACCTTCATGTATAAGGCGACGAAGTGTTTTGGGCGTACTGGGAAGCTTCTGTTCCTATTTAGAAGGAAGATTAAATTTGGGGAGCTGCTTTGGTTCTACTGGCGCTCCAACCTGTAATTCTGATATCTCTGCTTGTTAAGTTGTTTTTCCCAACAAGCCGAATTCCCGCCAAAAATTAATACGTAGCTAAATATCCTGTTTAAGTTCTGGGATAATAGATAACTCGAGACTTTTAATTAACTGGCGGTAAGTGATTTGCGTGTGTAGCTTAGCAACAATTCTGTTAGCGGTGCCATTTGCTATGCATTAGCAATTGCTGAACTGCTTATCCTCCTCTAATAGTAGCTCCTGAATCCGAAAGCCCTTTATAATCATATCCTTCGATTTTACCAGAAGTGTACAGTCGTTCATCTGAACTTATAAAAGTAGATTAAATCATATTCCTACGAATTTCACGTACTAATTTCCAAAACATTTGTAACTGTTTTTCTAAAACGCTTGGGCTTAGTTACTAACTTAAGAGAATCTAAATCTACAGAAATTCACTTACGTGCTGAACTATAATTGTGTAGCCTGATATAAAAAAATAAATGCTCGCTCTTAGCTATTTACTCATCTAGCTTTTACATAGCTTGACATTGTTGAGAAAAAGAGGAAAGAGGCACTTTTTGAGCAGAGTTGATAAAAGACGGATGTATTTGAATGTGCTCTGGTACTAGGTTGTGAAAATAACAGAGATACAGATAAAAATAAAAGACTATTACAATCTCAGAAGTGGGATATAAGCCTGGCATATAAACATTAAGTATGTGACAGTGGCTACATTCAAAAAATGGCTGGCATTTTTGGGTGCCTCCACAACAGGGTCCAACGCTGAGCTAGTGGCGCGTCTAAATACGGTGCCAGGAAGCGACAGGGGTGTGCTTCCAGGATTGACGAGACTCACAATGAGGAGGAGCCGACTGACAGCCAGGCATCGCAAAGAAATATTGTGCGGATGCAGCAGAAAGAAAGTATTCTCTAACAACTACGCTTGCAAGCCGTCAGTGCCAATCAGCAATTGCAGTTAGATGCTGACGAGAACAGCGCTAACGAAACCAACGCTATCGAAAACAACAACAGTGATTAAATTAATTTGCTTCCAGCGACAAAACGGAATGGACTTCGGCCACATTCGCGCAATCGGATTGCGCAATTTAAAAGTGTTGCTGAACTTTATCAACTGAATTAGGAATCAAGTCTTGTGTGTTACCAAACAAAAAGGAAATGCATTACAGTGTTTGATTATGGATCCCTAACGCATTCTGAAGCCATTAAACGAGCTGTTGGATCAAATAATGGTGGCGTTTGGCGGAAAATTGGCTGCCACGCAAGTTTATCGCGCGCCTTGGCAGCCTACCGAAAAATTAACTTTGTTCTTTGAGAGTAAAACTATTTTGGCAGGAGACCTCAATATGGACTATGAGGAGTTGGTAGATCGTGTTATTGAAGGCATTTCTGAGGAAAATTTACGGCTACAGGCCAGACTTCAATGTATTGATGACCCAGTGAAGATGGAATGAGCATTCCCATCTGTGCTTCTACGGCAGCATGGCGGTTCTGGTGGAAAAGGAGGCGCAAAGTCGTTGTTGTTTTTTTTATTGTAATTACAACGGGCACTGGGCAATAGACTGTTGGAAGCCCAACAGTAGGCATGGCTATGGATGTGGTGTCATAAGTCATCTAGTAGCTCATTGCCCTCAAAGAAAGACATACGCTGGAAAGGGTGTAAATAATTATGAAAAACAGGTACAATTTCATTTTAATGATAACATAAACAGATCCATTTTTGTAGAAAGATTCGGGCAGCGCCATTTCGTTAATAAAAAGAGCTCCAGCCACATAATGTTTTGTATTTTGTGCTAAATGATAGCCGATTAAATAAAGTTGTAAGAGTATTGTTATTTTTTTTTTTAATTAATAAAAATCAATTATCATTTATTACTATTGGCTGACAAGCCTATGAGGTGGGCAGTAGTATTGGGCAGAGATTTTATGGAGGCTTGTGATTTAAATAATGACCTGAGCGCTCTAAAAATGATTTCTATAGAGTATACTGGGAGCCAAATAAATAAACACATAAATAATACTGCAAAAAACTGGACACCAAATGTTAAAAATTAGCCTAAGCAATAATTTATGTTCGATAGTATTGTATTATAGCCTAATTCCAGTGTCGACATCTCAAACATTTTTTGCGAATGTACAATTTTTTGCTAATATGAAACATGTTGCCTGTACGTTTTCCCATAAGAAACCACATTTTTCATATTTGCTAAAAATGTAACACTTGCAAAAAATGTTGGTAGAGTGATTAGTGTTTTTTGCCATGATTTTTCGAATTTCGTATCGATGTTATGAAAAATATAAAAGTATCATTACCACAAACAGCTGATATAGCATCAAAAGCAAGCGGTAACTTTAAATTTAAATTCTAAATTTTACTTATTCCACAGTTTTTAACATTTAAAGATGGCCAAATCCCTCAAATTTGACCGTTGGAACGAAAACTTATTGTCGCTTACGTTAATCAAATCAAACCGATCAGCTTTTTATTAAGAGAAGCGGTACTATTGCCATTCATATGTTACCGCCAACTGACACTAGCTAATGGAATTCCAAAATGTGAAGTTTGTAATTGTAACATATTTTGAGCATAGTGGGATGAGACTATTGAAAAGTAAATTATTGGCAGAAAAAATGCTAGATAATAAATTGGATAATGGACTTGTGGCGATCTGGCAGCACAGGAACTGATACATTTTAAGTTTTTTCTCTTTGATAAGTTTGGTTACACTAACTTTGAATTTCACCATATTACGAAAAGCACGTACAACCTTCTTCTATCTCGAGCTCTCTACCTATCGACATCTACGCATCTAAATATTCACTTTTTTGTGTATAATAAGTAAAGTTTAAACTGAAATATTTTACTTGTGTTAACGGATGTAGAATTTGACTATTAAGTTCCATCCAAATAACCAAATTGGTGACCCCCGACAATAACCAAAGTGTGCGCAACTCAGGAGAGACGGAGCACCTACTTAAATTGCAAACATCACCAACAGGCATACTTCAAGATCATACTAAAGTTTTCGCCAATTCAATTCAGAATTATAAGCTAATTGACACACTCATATACATAGCTTTGCTGCGACATACTCACACAAAGATAGACATTTTGCGCAGTTCCACGAAATACATGACGCTTAAAATACAAAATGGAGGACGAGAATAATGCTAGCGCTCACATTGAGAACAGCAATGCAGAAGCTGCAAACAATGTAAATTCTGTTTTCGTCAAGATGCCTTTTCCTCAACTACACACGGTTACAAACATTGAAATGTTTTTTACAAAGCTAGAAAGTTGGTTTCTTTTACAAGGCATAGGCTTACGAAAGGAACACGAGAAGTACGCAGCCGTCATCACATATGCGGATCCCAAATACTTAGATCAAGTTCACGATCTTGTTCAAAACGAGCCTCAAACAAATCCATACACTACACTCAAACAAGCCATCCTGGCAAAGTTCGCTGAGTCAGAGATCACACGCCTCGACAAACTTGCCACTGGCATTCAACTTGGTGATGGACGTCCAAGCCATCTCCTCAGCCAACTACAGCAAACCAACGCTACTAACGACGAATCAGTTGTACGTCGATATTGGATTAAACGCCTACCTCCTGCAGCTCGCGCTGTCATCGCAGGTATTCTTGAGACTTCCCCGAATACAACACTATCGCAACTTGCAACAGCCGCTGACGCCGTAATGGATACACTAAGTTATACTTCATGTGATAACGTCGCAGTGCTTTCCCGTAACAACACTGCAACTGAGCATCAAATGGACAACCGCATCAGTACGATAGAAAAACGTCTGGATGCCCAGGACATAATGTTTCAAAACATCAATACAAAACTTGGTCAGCTGCTCAACAGCAATAAAAACGACGGAAATCGACGCACTCGCAGTCGCAATCGATCACAAACCAACCGCAGCAATGCACCGAACGCACAGGCCGATTCAAACCAAAATTGCTGGTATCATAACAAGTATGGCTGCAGTGCCCAACACTGCATTGCACCATGTTCCTTTAATCGAAAAAACACCAACAACCAAAAAAACTAGCAAACACCGTCGAAGAAAATCAAATTGGCCACTTCGACGGCCAATCTGTTTATGCCATAAAAAAGTTTTCCAAGCTTAGTATAAACGTTCACAGTATAACAACCTCTAATCGACTATTTATTCCAGATACAAAGTCTGGTAAAAAGTTCCTTATCGACACTGGCGCTGATGTGTCAGTCATACCTTCTGCAGCCATAAACCGACGTTTCTTAGCCACCAGCGAAAACCCTCTTTTTGCTGCTAACGGCACTACCATTAAAACATATGGCTCAACCCGTCTCACTCTCGATCTTGGGTTACGTCGTCCATACACATGGAATTTTATCATTGCTGACACAAAATTTCCAATCATTGGATCAGATTTCCTACAGCACTATAACCTTCTTGTCAATATCAAAGATGGTAAATTAATCGACGCTCAAACTTTGATAGCACGTCAAGGTGTCTGCAGTCTTCGATCTATAACAACGTTAAAAACGTTTAACGCATCCTGTGAGTTCGCCCGGCTGCTGGAGGAATTCAAGGACATCACACAACTCAATGCCATATCACCGAAGCACACAACATCTAGTGTAACTCACTGCATTGAGACAAAAGGCCCACCAACATTCGCAAGACCTCGTCGACTCACTCCGGACAAATTTAGGGCTGCCAAAATGGAATTCGAGTTCTTGCTTAAAATAGGTGTGTGCCGACCATCAAAAAGTGCATACGCATCGCCGTTGCACATGGTCCGCAAGCCAACAGGCGAATGGCGGCCATGTGGTGATTACCGTGCCCTCAACGCACAAACTGTTCCGGATAGGTATCCACTTCCACACATACAAGACTGTACACATATTTTTCATGGCAAGAAAATATTCTCAAAAATTGATCTTAACCGTGCATATCACCAGATCCCCATCGAACCAGGCGACATCCCAAAGACTGCAATAACCACACCATTTATATTATTTGAGTCACACATGACATTTGGATTGTGCAACGCTGCACAAACCTTCCAAAGGTACATGCATTCCGCACTGAGGGATTTAGACTTTGTTTTCGTCTATATAGATGATATCGCCGTTGCATCAGACAATATGGAGCAACACCAAATCCATCTTCGGCAAGTTTTTGAACGACTTCGACGTTTTCATCTCAAAATCAACACTAGCAAATGTCGTTTCGGTCAAACATCAATCGAGTTTCTTGGGCATTTGATCGATCATAGTGGCATCAAACCATTACCAGACAAAGTGAAAACCATCATCGAATTTCCCTTGCCCACAGTCGCAAAAGAACTGAAACGTTTTTTGGCAATGATTAACTTTTATCGAAGATTCCTGCCAAAAGCAATCACGCATCAAGCACCACTGGTACAATTAATACCGGGTAACAAAAAAAACGACTCAACTCCAATAACTTGGACAGGTGACACGCTGAAACATTTTGAGGAATGCAAGCGTTCTCTAGCTGCAGCAACACTTTTGGTACATCCTGCTCCAGATGCTCAGTTATCGCTCAGCACGGACGCAAGCGATACAGCGCTGTACTGCATCAAATCGTCAACAATGAACCTCAGCCAATGGGATTTTTCAGCGTTAAACTTACTGACGCACAACGCAAGTACAGCACTTATGATCGAGAGCTTCTTGCAATTTACCTTAGTATCAAGCATTTCCGCTACATGCTCGAAGGAAAAATGTTTGATGTCCACACTGACCATAAACCATTGGTATACGCTTTTACGCAAAAATCTGAAAAAGCTTCTCCACGGCAGCTTCGACAGCTTGATTTTATCGGACAGTTCACGACATCTATTCTACACATTGCAGGTGTCGATAACATTACTGCTGACACACTCTCTCGCATCGAAACCATTGAAGCCAACATCATCGACTACAATAAGATTGCTGTTGCACAAGCAAGTTGTCCAGAGCTAAAAAAGCTACTTAATGACAACACAACTTCACTTCAAATCAAATCTATCAACTTACCGCAATCAAGTACTCCAATCTTATGCGATTTTTCTACTTCTACAGTGCGACCATTCATACCGCAGCCACATCGAAAAAATATTATCAGCAAGATACATGGCATTGCCCATGGAGGAGTTGGTTCAACAATTAAACTCATCAAACAGCGCTTCGTTTGGCCTTGTATGCATAAAGATATAGCTCACTTCGTCAAACACTGCATCCCTTGCCAAAAATCTAAAGTCACACGCCACGTTCATTCACCGCTCCAACAATACACTCTGCCTTCACGCAGATTTGAACACATCAATGTAGACCTCATTGGACCACTTCCTCAATCTGGTCAATTTAGATATTGTCTCACGATTATCGATCGCTATACCAGATGGCCAGATGCAGTCGCCATCGAGGATATCCAAGCTGAAACAGTAGCCGCAGCACTCATCAATACATGGATTTCTCGCTTTGGAGTTCCAGCACGCATTACCACGGACCAAGGCAGACAATTTGAATCCAGGTTATTTAACGAGCTATCGCGCCTCCTCGGCATTGACCATTTACGAACAAGCGCCTACCATCCACAGGCAAACGGAATCATCGAACGTTGGCACCGCACGATTAAGGCAGCTATAATGTGTCACAACAGGATCGGCTGGCCATCCAAACTGCCAATGATTCTCCTCGCCCTACGCTCAGCATATAAGCCCGACATCCAAACAACAGCAGCACAGCTTGTTTACGGTACAACTCTTCGTCTTCCTGGAGAATTTTTCAATAACTCCAGTCAATTTCAACCACAAACTGATTTCGCCAAGGATCTAACAGAGATGATGCGCGAAATCCGACCAATTCAAACATCCAACCACGACTCATCAAAGCCTTTCATCTTAAAGCAATTAGCTGATTCAACTCATGTTTTTCTGCGTAACGACACGGTACGTGGATCGCTTCAGACGCCCTACGACGGACCATTTGAAGTAAAATCAAAACATACCAAATTTTTCAACATACTTATCAATGGTCACGATACCAAAGTATCAATTGATCGCCTCAAACCTGCTTTCATGGAAACACAGCAACAATCAACGACAATCAACGCAGAAGCAACATCATAGGTCAACAACAGGTCGCATCCAAGGATACTCCCAACACACCTATACCGCTTCAACAATCTACAAGGCCTCGCCGCACAATTAGACTCCCCGTTCGTTTCACAACTTGAAGTCTAGAAGGGGGTACTGTGGCGATCTGGCAGCACAGGAACTGATACATTTTAAGTTTTTTCTCTTTGATAAGTTTGGTTACACTAACTTTGAATTTCACCATATTACGAAAAGCACGTACAACCTTCTTCTATCTCGAGCTCTCTACCTATCGACATCTACGCATCTAAATATTCACTTTTTTGTGTATATTAAATAAAGTTTAAACTGAAATATTTTACTTGTGTTAACGGATGTAGAATTTGACTATTAAGTTCCATCCAAATAACCAAAGACTATTGGACAGTAAATTGTTAGAAAATAAATTGTTGGATAGTAAATTGTTAGAAAATAGATTGATAGGCAGCAAATTGTTAGAAAAAGAACGAATGGAAACAGAAACGGTTAATACAATTTTATAAAATTATTTTGAGAAGAGAACGTTGCTTATCAACAATTTAGTCACAGACACGATAGAAAGGGTATATAACATTTGCTCGAAGGTACATATGTAAAGGCGAGAAGACCTGATGGTGAAAATTATAGTTTAAAATGCGAAAGCATCTTATTGTTCGCCAAGGCGATAGCCATACACAGAAAAAGGAAAGTTGCAGAAATGTTAAATGAATACTAGAGGAACGGTATTTTGGTTAAATAGATGGAACTTAAAAGTTAATATTCTACATACATTAACACAAGTAAAATATATCGATTTTAGCAATAGTTGCTTTATTTATTATACACCAAAAAAGTGTATATTTAGACGCGTAGATGCTGAAGGCTAGAGAGCTCGAGCTAGAATATGTTGTGCATACTTTTCGTTATATTGTGAGATTAAAAATTAGTGTAACCAAACTTATTAAAGGCAAAAAACTTAAAATGCATCAATTTCTGTGATGCCAGATCGCCACAGTACCCCCTCCTAGACTTCAAGTTGTGAAACGGCGGTGTTGCATCTGATTTGGTTGTCGTTGATTGTAGCTGTGTTTCCATGAAAGCATGTTTGAGGCGATCAACTGATACTTTGGTATTATGGCCATTGGTAAGTTCGTAGGACGTCTGCAGCGATCCACGTACGGTGTCGTTACGCAGAAAAACATGGGTTGAATCAACTAATTGCTTGAAGATACGAGGCATTGATGAGTCGTGGTTGGCAGTTTGAATTGGTGGGATTTCGCCCATCATCTCTTTTAGATCCTTGTCGAAATCGGTATGCGGTTGAAATTGGCTGGAGTTGTTGAAAAATTCTCCAGGAAGACGAAGAGTTGTGCCGTAAACAAGCTGTGCTGCTGTTGTTTGGATGTCGGGCTTATATGCTGAGCGTAGGGCGAGGAGAATCATTTGCAATTTGGATGGCCAGCCGATCCTGTTGTGACACATTATGGCTGCCTTGGTCGTGCGGTGCCGACGTTTGATGTTTCCGTTTGCTTGTTCCGCGATAGCTTGTTGAAAAACCTCGATTGAAATTGTCTGCCTTGGTCCGTGGTAATGCGTGCTGGAACTCCAAAGCGAGAAATCCATGTGTTGATGAGTGCTGTGGCTACTGTTTCAGCTTCGATATCCTCGATAGCAACTGCATCTAGCCATCTAATATCTAAATTGACCAGCTTGAGGTAATGGTCCAAAAGGCTCTTAATTGATGTGTTCAATCTGCGTGGAGGCAGAGTGTATTGTTGGAGTGGTGAATGAACGTGACGCGTGACTTTAGATTTTTAGCAAAGGGATGCAGTGTTTGACAGAGTGAGCTATATCCTATGCATACAAGCGCACACGGAGCGCTGTTTGCTGAGTTTAATTGTTGAACCAGCTCCTCCATGGGCAATACCATGTATCTTGCGCA